GAGGATGATTTTCTTTTTAGAACAGATTGAATTTCTATTTATTGTTAAATACATTTATTGATCTAAGTTGGATTTAATAACACATAAAAGATATAGTCCCGTTTGGTAGAGTTGTGGGAAAGTGATTATAGCTTATAACTTAACAGTTTATAGCTTATAGCTTATAGCTATGAACGTTAAGCTGATTTTTGACTTATAAATTAAGCTTCTCCTCCCCACTCAAAAAATAAGTTAATTTTTGACTTACAAAAAATTATAAGTTGTATTGTTAAGCTGAACCAAACATATCAAAATAGCTTAAATTAAGCTAAAAGCTGAAATAAGCTGGAAATAAGTCCTACCAAATAGGGCTATAATACGTTAATCTCTATTTTTTTTATAATTATTATAGATTTATATATTGATGAACCAGACAAGAAAGGCTTAATTGTCTCACGTTATAGAACAAAATATAGAACATTGAAAATATATCTAAATTATAGAATAAAACATAGTCCATTACAAATTTATGCAACATTCAAAGATTGCTCCATTGATCCAAGGAGTTCATTTTGTACAAAAAATTAAAAAATAGAGAAAATTGGTGATAAATCCAATTTAGAGAGTATTTAAAACAATAGATTCAGTGAATATTTTTGTTGGTAATAGATCCACCTTTTATTTGGCTATAAACCCCCTTTACCTTCCTTTCATTGTTAAAATGATTAAAAAAAAATTAAATTTTCTAAACCCCTTCATAATTATAAAATCTTGCATAAAGGAAAAAATTTATTATTTAAATATTTTTTCAGACTATTATACCCTCAACTAAATTCTCTCACATTCTCCACCCACTCTCTCTCCACCTTCTTGGTCTCTATGACTCTGGCCAGCCAAAATCGAGTTCATCTAAGCCTAAGATTCATTCAATCTTTGACCTAGAACACTGACCTGGTTCAAGCAATCACAATCTGACCTGTGTATTTGAATTGAAGCTTAGTTTGAAACTTTAATCTAATTTGCGTCTGTTAAGAAACCAAGGACTTCATTGCAAAATTGATCCGATTTGACAATCAACCCGAATTCAAGCTTCTGGAACTCACGATTACAAACTGGAGTCCTTCGCGATCTGACCTTGGGTTCTCTCTTGTGACTCGTTGTTCTTTGAGTCAACTTCGATGAGAACTTTGGATTTCAAGTTCTAATTGGAATTGCGATTTCAGTTTGCTCTGGCTTAAAGGTTGCAAACTCTAAGTTCGAACGACTTACAGATCGACTTCCTAACTGAATCGCAATCAGACTTGTGTTTGCTATCTTGAAGCGAAATTAGACTCAATTTGAAGCTTCTATTGCAATTTGAAGATCCATCAAGTTCGCAATGACCACGTGGGAAAGAGTGCGGGTGGAGTTGTTTGGTTATACATATTTTTTTAAACACAGATTTGAGTTTTGAATATATGTCATATATATATATATATATATTTGTGTATATGAGTGTTTTTGAACACATGTATTCTTTTCATTGAGATTTGTGATTATTGATCGAGTTTTAGAAGTTTTTCTTCTCAATTAGATATGTTAATTTGTTGATTAATTTGTTTTGTTTTTGTTTGTTTGTTTGTTTTTTATTTATTTTTGTTGTTTTTTATCTAATTTCATTTGACAGAACCAGAGTAAAATTTTACTCTGATTCTATTGCTCTTTTTTTTTCATTTGACAGAACCAGAGTAAATTTTACTTTTATACAGAGTAAAATTTTACTTTTGTGTAGAGTCTAACATTTTACTCATTTTTCAGAGTAAAATTTTACTTTTATACAGAGTAAAATTTTACTTTTAGTTTCAGAGTGTAACATTTTACTCTTATTCAAAGTAAAATTTACTTTTATACAAAGTAAAATTTTACTTTTAGTTTCAAAATGTAAAATTTTACTTTCATACAGAGTAAAATTTTACTTTTATACAGAGCAAAATTTTACTTTTAGTTTCAGAATATAAAATTTTACTTTTATGCAGAGTAAAATTTTACTTTTATACAGAGTAAAATTTTACTCTGAAATATATAGTGAAGATAACTTAATAGGAGAACTGATAGATATGAGGGTAATATAGTAAAAGAAACAAGTTTTAAAATATTAGGGGGTTCTGAAAGTACTTATATAATTCTTGTTCTTTTGAAAGACAAATTAGATAGTGAGGGGGCTATCACCAAATCCCCCTTTCTAAAATAGTTTGGTAAGAAATCCTTTTATTAGTTTTGAATGACATTTTATTTATAATTTTATCCCGGTTCACTTTTTATCTGTTCAAATTTTTTTCCTATTTGTTCAAGGTTTATCTGTTTAATTTTTTAATCATTTCAACTATCTGTTCAAACTATTTGTTATCTGTTGAAATGTTTTTTATTTATCTGTTACAATTTTTTCCCTATCTGTTTAACCCTATTTCACATATTTGTCAATTTTTTTTTCAATTTGTTGCAATGTGTTTCTTCATCTACATCATCATCATCATCACAGCAACAACAACCAAAGAGAAAAAAAAAGAAAAAAATCATATTATCATCCACATCATGTGAAGGCCAACAAACAACTTAGATATATGTTATTGATCCGAGAGATTTCTTCATTTCCCAACCCCATCATCACCACCACAACGGAAGATCGGCGGTAGCAAATCTGAGATGAAGAAGATGAAGAGAAGAGAGAGAGAGAGAGACTGTATACACAATTCATTGAAGAGACAACTTGTATATACAAATCGAAGGTCTGGTCTTCTTCCTGTTCTTCTCTTGGTCTTCGTTCTCATGAGACAACTGTTGCAGTATCCATGGAAGACAAAGGTGAGGAGAGCTGAACGCGAAAACACACACACACACAGAGAATGTATATACACCCCCGATCGTCTAGAAATCGATCAGATTTTGGCAGATCTGAGCGACGATCGAGATAGCCCCTTCATTCAGATGCCGAACCATACCTAACAAATCCGCACCGGCGGCGATTCCGACGATGACACAGAAGGATCTAGTTCGTGGGATCTCGGTCAAGCTCCAAGGACTTCGTTCCCGACGAATTAGATCCGTGGTAGTAGGTTGGCAGGAGGAAGATAGTGGTTGCGGCGGCGGTGAAAGTGTCGCAGTGGAGGTGGTGGTGGCGGCAGTGACTGAGGCGACGGAGTCGGAGTCGGAGTCGGCGTCGGCGTCGGCGTCGCCGGGAGAGAGAGAGAGAGAGGAGTGTGTTTAGGGTTTGGACAGTGTTGTCTATGGCATTATATACAGAGGGTATGTTGGTCATTTAACATATACTTGTGGATAATTCTATTTCCATATACTAATTATTCTTAGTATATACAAATGAACATTTCTCCGTACACATCTCTATATTTCAATATTACCTTCATTTTCAATTTCAAAACCCTAAGGCTATGTTTGGTTTTAATTTTTGAATCAATTTTTTAAAATTTTTATGAGAAAAATATAAATTAATTTGATAAAAAATAAATACCAAAAAAGTATTTTTTAATATTTTTGCCCCTAAAAAGATGAAACCATATTGAAATAAGAGGTTTTTTTTTAAATTTATTTTTGAAAATATATTCTAAAACTATATCAAACAGAATCTAATTTTATGGTATTTTAGAAATAGGGTTTGAGTAGAAGAAAATGAGGGTATTATGGTATTTTTATTTTGGGACAAAATTGTATTAATAAAAATTTTCATTAAGTATATGAACGGAGTAGAATTAGTGTGTGAAAATAGAATTACCCTATACTTGTCCTTATGGGCAAAGAAAATCAGCGTCTAGACCTTTAAACCAAGGAAATTTGAAATTGGATTTCTCAAGCAAGTACCTGAAAAAATAAATAAGTTAATTTATTTTAACTTTCTTTTAAAAAAAAAAAAGTTCAAACAATAAATATTTTAGTTTAAATGATAAATCTTACGTTATTTACGTAGTGTGAAATAAATCTTATGTGAAATTATTAAGATATTATCTATAATAACATTAGTGTGTTTGGCTTAAGTTTTTTAAATTAAGTTTTTTAAAAATTGAGTTTTTTGATTTTCGTGTTTTTTTGTTTTTTGTAAATATTTTTTAAATTTTAAACATTTTTTTAATTTTTTCGATGCACCGTACTTAAATGTATCTAAAAAGTAAAAAATTTGTGAAAAAATATTTTTAAAAATTAATAAATACATAAAAATATAAAAAATGTACTGAATTCTCGTATTTTTTTTTATATTTTTGGTATTTAGTAAATTTTTAAAAGGCTTTTTTCAATTTTTTTGTACTTTTTAGGTATATTTATGTTAGGTATGTCTAAAAATTAAAAAAATTGCTCAAAATATTAAAAAAATTCAGTAAAAACAAAAAAAACACGGAAAATAAGAAAGTAGAATTTTCTGAAAAGTGTTTTTGAAAAATGATAACCAAGCATTATCATTAATTTTGGAGATATAGTTTCTTTTTAAGTATTTTATCAATGTTTAAATATTTTTATAATATCTTAACAATTTAGAATTTTTTTAATATTGTATAGAATTTAATAATTTTGTTTAACATTACTAAAATAATACATGGGTCATTATTAATTTTTTTGTACAAGATTAGCGAAGGTGAGGGAAATTTACTATTTGAATATATAAAAACAATATTAAAATTTTTGACTCATAATACATAATATCAGCATGACATTAACATATTCTGTTAAATAAACTAACAAAAGATTAATGGTGAAAGAATCTTAATAATAATTTCAAAAGTAAAGAATGTTTCTGTAATTAATAAAATTATAAGAGAAGTCCCCGTAATTGTCATAAACCTCAGGAAAAGTAAGTGTAATTTTTACCCAACAAATAATGACTACAAGTAATTAAGATTTAAGCTTGATGAAAAAATTGATGCAATGATAATAATCTTTAATTTTGTAATTGCTAACTTGGATTTCCAGCTGAGCTAAAATCATGATGATGACAGAAGTTGATTCAATAGAAAAAACTGAAATTCTACCCACAATTCTGAAGAAACAAAACCTAAAGCATTTTGATAACTAAATTCAAACCAAACACAACCACAGCACATTCAAAACCCCTTTTGAGGTTTCAAAATTTAGACACACCACATCCAAACCATATTAATTGCCAATCAAAAAGAATTTAATCAGCAATTTCCCTAATTCATGATCAATAAAAACACAAAGATCTCATGGTATACAATGCCAAATTCTTTTTCTTTTCTTTTTTTCTTTTTTTTTTTCTTTTTTTTTTTGTTTCCCCCTGTGAAAACCTCTATCGTTCATGCTTGCTGGTTTTCAAGTTGAATGCCACTCTTACTTCTAGAGAACAACTTTCCAAAACCATTTCGGCTCTTAGCAGAGGTGACCTGGCTTAACGACGCTGATGATGAAGTTGATGTTGATGACGATGAAGAAGCAGGTGATTTCTTATCATTACCATTCACTGAAGGATCGGAGTTCTCTACGGGCATTTTCAAAAGATCTGAGTCACTCTTGGGCATAAATGTCTCATTACCATGCAACTTCCATAGTTCACCAGCTCTAGGAATCATCAATCTTCCTCTAGAAAACCCCGGTAGGTTTGCAGTATCGATAAGGAAGTCTTCCAGTGTTGCAAGGGATTCAAGCTGCCTCCCCAGGGATGCTATTGTCTTTTGGCACTCTGCAAGTTTCCCAGCTGCCACATCCAAGTCCTCCTGCAATGGACAAGATTTTACTAGCAATATGAAGAACAGATAATAGGTCTTGTCCATCTATTTTCTACCTGATTAAAATTTACAAAGACAATTACAAATGTGTATTGCAAGAAAATAAGAGCAAATGTCATTTTACCTGCCAAAATATCCCTCAAAAATCAATTAGACTCTTGTCCTTTTAATTGTCTTATCATCACCCACTGTCTATAATCAGACGGAATCCCTTCATTTTAGCTCCTAAACTATTCCTCAAAAATCCATTAAACCCCTGAACAAGAGGGGTAGTTTGGGGGGTAAAATGAAAATCCCATTTGAATATAGACGTGACAGCAGGGAGTCACAGTGAACCAAATCAGAATAATCTAGGTGTAAAATTGAAACAATTAAAAGGACGGATTTGATTGATTTTTGAGGGATAGTTTGAGAGAAAATGAATTTACTCAGAAAATTAATTCAGAGACAACTGACCTGCTTTATTTTAGGTTTGCCATTTGAAATAGCAGTTTGTTGAAGTTCAATTTCTTGAGATTTTCTTGTTAGTTCATCCTCTAATTCTCGACACTTGACAGCCATTTCTGCTGACAAACTCCGCTCCTTTTCAACCTCTTCATTTAGCGAACCAACCTTTGCACTCATGGTCCGTGCCTCCACTTCTATACCGATCAGTTGAAACTCAAGCAGTTCCTTCAATTCATTTACTGCAGTTAGCTCCTTCTGCAGCTCCTCCAACCTCATTTCCACCTCCTTCAGCTGAGACTGAGATGCCTCAACAGAATCTTGGCTTGCAGTTAGGGCTTTCTCAAGTTCATCTTTCTCTGCCTCTATCTTCTCCAATTTTTCTTCCAATCCAGCCACCCGATGCTTCATTGCTTCAAATTCAGCTTTGAGTGGATTTTCACCATGACTCAATTGGTTGGCATCAACTACTGATTCAAGGCATTGGGTCCTAGTCTCTGTCTCAGGCAGTGCAGCAAGTCGCTCCATTTCAAGAAAATCATCCATGATATCAATCTCAAGGGAAGACCCTGTAATACTTTTTCTGAGAGTTTTTTCGTTCTTGAATTGATCAAGCTCAGTAATTAGAGCCAATGCCCATGAGTCTGTGCAGCTTGGTTCACACGCATTCTGCAACGCATTTAGCCGCTCCCCAGTATCTGATTGACTATCGGTTAGAGACTCTACATAAATTGAGGAAGCAGCAAGAGATTTCTGATCATTAGCCGAAGAGGATTTACGAGTCACTGCTTGAAGTCTTCTGCACTCAGCCTCAAGCTTGGTTACTTTCTTAATGCTCTCTAAATGCTGCTTGCTAGCAGTTTCCGCTGCTTGGGCACTCAAGTCTCTCTCAATAGTACTGATTTCCAACTCCTCAGATTGAGAAAGAAGCTTGAGCTTGAGAGCTGCGTTCTCTTTCTCCAAAGACTCAAGCTTGATATGAAGATCAGGATCGACAGAAACGAGAGATTCAGATTTGGCTGCCACTGCTTGGGCCTGGAATTGGAGAAGCTGGCCTTCAAGCTCTACTTTGGTGGATTCAAATTCACAGGTTTTCTCCAACAAAGCTTCTTCAATCTTTTGTTCTTGCTCCTCTCTTCCTTGTCTCAGCTGCCTTACACATTCCTTGAGAGCTCCATCAAGATGGCTCACACGATCTTCAAGTGCCAAGTTTTGCTGAATTGCTGCCTCAAGTTCTTGTTTTAAAACTGCCACCTCATTTTCAGCCTTTTCCCAGCCTAGCATTTGTGAATTATAGAGGGTTATAAAAGGGGGGAAGAAGTAATTAAAAAAAAAATCTAATCTAATACAAGAAAGGAACAACAAAGCAACAATGAATTTAAAGTCTTATTGAACAAACATTTTAGTGGCAATTATTCCAGCTTCACATCTGCTCTATCCTCCAACAAGTAATTCTATCACAATTTTTGAGTGACAAATATACCTGCTACAGCTTCTTCAGCAACTTTGGAATGCTGCTTAACCAAGTCCTCTTTTGCACTAACATTCACAAGAGCAGCTGATAACTTCTCTGTCAAGATCTTAACACTATCGATAATTTCTTCCTTACTGACAGCAGCTTTTGATATGAATTCTGGTGATTGAGTGTTATGATTTGGCGATGCCTTTAATGCTTCCTATTCCAACAAGAGAGAGAGTCATACAAAGAAACACAAAATATTGATCATCACACTCTAGGTAAAGCTAGTCCCTAGGGCTGCAAATGATCCAAGCAGAGTCAAGCTTTACGTAATGTGTTACTAGATGAGCTTAAAAATTGAGCATGGGCTTGTCTAGTTTATCAAAACGAGAACATGAACGAGCCACTTATATTGCCATGTTAATCCCAAGCTGTTCATGAACAACTAATTTAATTTGCAACCTTTGAAAGAGAACATTTAAATAGAACTTGCATTGAGGATACCAAGATAACTTGCATCCGGGCATAAATATTAATTATTTAATTATTAGTGTACATATAGGTTTTAGTTTTGTTTTCAAACATGTCCCAAAACAAATTTATCGTTTCCCTCAAATTTCCTGATTGTTTCCAAAATATTTCCATTTCTAACCCAACTGAAACAACACGTTGAAAAACAATTTTGATTCTTGCTCACACTCGAATCAATTGAGAACAACAACCAAAATATGAAAGTCAAAACTCAAATATCGGAAAGAATCCAGGTCACAAAGAGGCAGAAAATTTTCAAAATTAGATGCATTCAAGCTCATGTACTATACAGCGTGTTTCTCATTTTAGGTTTCAGATAGACACACACATACATATACATAAATGCTCACAAATATGGCGAGCTGAACTAGGTTGTGTTCAAGCTCGGCTCATTTAATAAACAAGGTCAGAAGTAAGCTTAATCCTCACTCATTCACAAAATGAACAAGAATAAACAAGCTTGTTATCAAACCAAATGCAAAGCAATAGTATAAAGACTAAAATGCAGAAGTAACAGAAGAACACCAGGTTCCACCACACCTCATTTCTCTCTGATCACATTTTTATGGTGTTAGATCAATGAGTGGTTACACTATGGTGCCTCCTCTTTACTTCCCCATCACTTTGTGTCTCATAATGCCAATTAACTGAGGTTATGATGATAAAAATATTCTCAGCAAGCATGCATTTTAACATAAACATAATCTTTTTTGTTTAAAATATATATATATATATATTGGAAAGTTGTTTCCTCAGTGAGTACAGAATGGAGTCAATCAATCACTGCATGTAGTAAATGAGGTATTTTAAGGTATATATATAATATTTTGTTTAGAAATCAAGACACAGATTGAAAAAAAAAGACATGAGGAACAAATGTTCAGTGACAAACAATGTATAACCAAAATGGATTGGCATGATAGGATTTTTCACTAATTAAAATACAACCATTACCTACAATGGATTGGCATGATAGGACTTCTCACTAATTAAAATACAACCATTACCTACAGATTTGATTGCACAGCCAACTTTGGCAGTACCATCAACTGTCATTCTTGTTTTTGAAGACTTAAAAATAGAATGATACGAGACTACTAACCCCTCAACCAAGGTTGAGAACATGTATAAATGAAGCACAAAAGAAATGTAGTTTTGTACCTAATTTTGATGGTTTCCTCCCAACCCAAAGATGGATGAAAGAGGACCAACAGGCAGCAGCAACTTCTAGACTACATTTCTCCCACAGAAGCTATTAGAGGACATATATAAATTAAAACATATTATGGGATGCAATTCAAGGCTTTCAAGGAAGAGAAAAGTATGATGGTGATATTGAGGCACGATAAGCAAAGAAAAGAAGGGTAATCAATGCTTCTGATTTAAGGCATAAGATGTTGCCAAATCAACATTGGGTATGGAGAACCCTTCTTATCTACTGACATATCAGTTAATGTGCCTCATCTATATATGAGCATCACTATGGGAGAGAAATTCAGGACGAGAATCAGCAAGCATTTTGAACATTCAAGTCTTAGTGTCTTTGTTATTCATAATTCAAGATAATGCCAACTCATAGTAATGAGAAATACTTCACAGAAAGTTTATCCTACAACCTTAGAAGAGAGATTTCTTGCATCACTATGGCCACGTTTGGTTTGTGGTTTTTTGGCTAAAAAATCCAAAATGTCACATCATACACATCAATCAATCAATTTTTCCTTCACAACTATCTAATCAACTAAAAAAACATTCCAAAACTTTTTTCACCTCACAAAAAAGCCAAAAAGTCACTAGGAAGGCCAAGTTGCCAAACGGGCACTACGTATGTGTGTTACGCACTAGAATTTGTCCCGTGGACACACAAGCAATCCAAGGAACAATGTTCAAAAATGCCTCAATAAATATCAACAATGAACAATGTTCTTCTAAATATATGTGTTAGAAATGCCTCAGTATTCCCAAGAAAAGATAACCCTATTATTAGGAAATGGTATCAAAAGCAAAGTTAGCGCTGTGTTTGGTTAGGAGATTTGGAAAGGAATTTGGGAATAAATTTGGAAAGGGAAACGAAAAAAGTTAGGTGAAATGTGAATAAATATACCTACTTTTCACCTAATTTCACCTACCTTTTCTCTTTCTCTTTCCAAATCCCTTCCCAAATCTTCCAACCAAAACATGCTATAAGGTTACATTATTCCAAATAATTTGCCCCTTTTAGAAATGCCTCAGCATTCCCAAGAAAAGATAACCCTATTATTAGGAAATGGTATCAAAAGCAATGTTAACGCTGTGTTTGGTTAGGAGATTCGAAAAGGAATTTGGGAATAAATTTGGAAAGGGAAACGAAAAAAGTTAGGTGAAATGTGAATAAATATACCTACTTTTCACCTAATTTCACCTACCTTTTCTCTTTCTCTTTCCAAATCCCTTCCCAAATCTTCCAACCAAAACATGCTATAAGGTTACATTATTCCAAATAATTTGCCCCTTTTATTTTGAGTATGGCAAATTGGTGCACATATGATATGTTGAGTATGGCAATTGAACCTATTTCTATCAACCCCACTATGCTCGGGCATATCATATGTCCAAATCTAAACCAACATCAATGGTTTTAAAAGAGGGGAAAAATCAAGACCAAATAAATAAATGTGACAATGACGAGTCTTCCATAATTTTTTTGGGATAAGTAAAACAAATACAATTCGGTTGCCAGAATTTGAACTTAAACAAGTAATCAATCTGAGCATATATTGGTGACGAGTAAAGAGTTTCCTTTTATTCACAAGCAGTCATATGCCTAACCCATAAGTTGTCATTTAACAGAAACTTTTAAAGGTTGATTAATAAGAACCAAGAAGTTTTTCATGTTGTAATTACACCATTGCAACCATTAAAATTTTGGAACACGATGGAGAAGAATATGCTAGTTATCTACAGGATCATTCTCTTGCATTTGCAAGAAATACATTTAAGACAAAAGGTTACTTGAATTCCTTAACAACAAATGCACAACAAATTGCCTTGAGGTTTGCAGTCTCAAACACGAGTATCTAATCAGACCAAGTTCTTTATTGCAGAAATGAGACAAGCTATTCTTAGAGACAATTAGTCAATTTCTCAGCCTCTATGTCCACGCAATGTTAGTTGCTCACGAAAATTAAAAAGTTAAAGAACATAGCAAAGCAAAAGTTCAATTCCTTCCAATAATGTCTCTATGAAAACTGCTTAAGATCAGAACAAGAAACAAAAACAATTTACTTTTTTTTTTCCCTTACCAAGTGCATCTGAAAAGTGGTAATTGTATATTACTAAATTAAACCTGGTTAATTTTGAAAAGGAAATTAACTAAAATTTTGCATAACCCTTTGAAATTCAATAGTTTTCATGCCACTTGGTTAAAGATTAAAGATAATGTAACTACACAAATAACAGATATAACATAAATGTTAGAAAGGCACATTTGAGACAATTCCTGCCATTGGGAAGTTAAGGCACCAGATTTAAACACGTTGAAGTACTCTAAAGGCCAAAACAGATCATCAGGCAATTGTATTCTAACCTGATCATCAGAGTATCTCTCAGAATGAGAAGATATTGATCCAGAACTTTCAGATTCACCAGGGCTTTTCTCAGAAGACTTCCTCTTCCACAACCATTTTCTTTTTTCCATGTCAGCGTGTGAAAATCGAAACCACACTAGCACATTACAGAGTGTTCATCTACACAAAATAACAGCATTCTTCAAAAAGCAACACTAAAAACCAACCATAAAGCATTCCTGAAGTTAAAAGAAACATCAAAGAAATATAGAATGGAAATCCAAACCAGTTTTAGTTCTAGAATATGCTTCTTTCTAGGCAATAGAACTGCAACCAATCTATTTAAACCCTAAGAAATCATTAAAAAAGAAAATTACATATCTCATCAACAATCTTAGAAATTTAACAAGGATTACTTGGCTTGTGATTTTCTCAGCTTTGCTTCAAATCCACCCCCGTAACCAACCAATATCAACAACAAAACTATGAATTACAAAATGAACAGTGATAAAACTGAGTGGAAAAAAACACAAAAACAAAAAACAAATTAAGCCAGACGAACATATACTGAAGACAGAGATTTGCTAGTTCTAATCAAATAAAGAGCACTAAACCCATTACTTGAAACGCAACAATGAGGACTACCCATCTGATGAAAACAAATCAAATCTTCAAAATCCCAAAATATACCCAAAGATAAAATCAAAAATCAATATAACAGTGGCTGGCCACTAAATATACCACATTGAACTGAAGATTACTGAATACCCAATAGAAAAAAATCCAAAAGATGACCAACCCATCAAAGCTCAAACAGCCCAAAACCATCTTAAAATATTCAAGATAGTGCAAAAAATAAAATAATAGATACATGTATGCATATGTCTCCTTTAAAATAAAAATTAAAAAAAAAAGGGAAAGAAAAGGGAAACAGTTAGATAGAAACAAACCCAAATCAATATACCTTTGACTGGAGACCAAAACCAAGCCAGAGATCAGATGGGAACCCAACCCAGTAATAAATGTGAAAACAAAGATGGGTTGTGGGTTCAGATTCCACAACACCACATCCAAAGAATCATACAAAAAACCCAAGTCTTGCTAAGATCTGTGGAATGTCAGGAAAATTTCAGATAACAACCAACAAGCATGAGTACGTGTATGAGAAATTTTTATTTTTTTTTCCTCTCAAATAGTTTGGGGAGTTGTTTATTGCCATATTTATATTTCCATATTTTTGAAAGGAGCTGCAGAGCATGTGATGGAGAGAAGTGATGGGTGAATGTGAAAGCTTTGAAAGTGAAAGGAATGAGACCCACTTTTCAGCTTTTTTTTTTATTTTTTTATTTATTTAACTTTTTGTTTAATTCAGCTCGCTCTATTGGGGTTTTTTTTTCAAATTAGGATTGTCTAATTCCCGCCCATTGATGATGAATAGAATAAGGCTAAGTTTGGGTACTCCCAAAAAAGCCAAAAAGTCAAAAAGTTACTCAAAAAGTTAAAAAGTTAACACTATTCACCAAAAGTCAACAATTACGGCTGCACAACTCCCAATCCTAATTTTCCCCTACAAACCAATTTTTACAATTTTTTAATACACATTTTTCCATAAAAAGTCAAAAAGTTAACCCAAACATCCATATTTTCAACCTCAATTTTTTAGTCCAAAAAGACAAAAAGTGCACTTATTTAGTCTTCCCAAACTTGGCCTAAATCTCTGTAACTGTTACGCTATTTACAAAATTTATATTAATTTTTTCAATTTTTATATGCGTTTTTTTATGAAGATTGAAGTTTGAACCCAGTTCTCAGCTTTTCTTACTGTTATTTGTTTTTGTCTTCTTGCTATTGCAAGGAATTTTATAAGGAAGTTTGAGGGTTGTATGGGTGGTTCCTTGCATAATTGTTCAAGATTTAATACTTAGAATTAGAATATAAAAAAACAAATAGTTGAGATATATGTAAATTTGTCTTGATAACCAAAAAAAAAGAAAAAAGGGAACTTTATAATGAGGGAAAATTATTTTATGGATTTTGGTTGTGGTTCTCTAATTTGATATTTATTAGTTAAAATAGTGTTAGATTTATTAAAAATGTGTTTAATTCATGAATTTGAATCAAAATTTACAAAGAAAAAAAATGTGTGAAAGGTATGTAAAATATTCACATTTTACTTATATTTTCTTTTTCCTTTTTAAATTCTTACCTAAATCAATGAACTAAACACAATATTAGAAAATGAGTGTTTTTTTAGTAAATTTTTATTTTTTACAAAAATCCATACAAAAAGGTGGAAATAATTTATGAACTTTTTGTAGTAATTTATTGCTAAAACATAGTCTTTCCAAATGAGGTCTCAATATATTTTTTAATAGAGAAATTCTATGGTATATGCACGGACCATATGCATCCCTAATTGATGGTGTTTGGGAAGTGAATTTTTATATAGGTTTTTTTAGTTGTAGGTTTTTATCGGATAAAAAATTTTTGGTGTTTGGGAAGATAGTTGGGTTTTTATGTGATTGGATGTGATGTTTGTGAGAGAAAAAGTGAAATGATTATGGGGTTGGATGTGATATTTTGTTTAGATGAGTTTTTTTTGATTTTGTAAAAAGTTTGTCTTTTAATGAAAAAAATGAGAAAAAAATCTGGAACCTAGGTTCCCAAACATTATGACTTTTGTAGTTTTTGGTTAGAAAAATGTTATAGACCTCAAATTTTTTACTAAATAAATGACCAAATATCTCACATAAATATTTAATCATTTAATTGATAGGAAATTTGATATCTTTATAACTTGTATGTTATGAGTCACTCTCCAAAGAGCATGTGTTACTAGTTTTGTGATATTACACATTAATTAATTACTTCTTTTTTTTTATTTTATTTATTTACTTATTTATATTTTTTTTTTGTCGTTTTACTACTTAATAAAAATTGATCAACATATTCATTGGTCAAATTTTATAGTGTATAATTGACATAAAGTACTACATTAGACAAAATCATATATGTTTCAGGACTACCAAATGATAACACCTTCAATAGGAATTTCAAATTGCAAAAACTACAACCTTACGTTGGGGTATTTTAGAAAGTGGGTTAAAAATCATTTCTCAACTTTTAACTTACTTTCTTTCTCATAAAAAAAATGTCAAAAAATTAATTTTTAACCATCTTCCCAAAACACCCCATAAAAAAATAAATAAATAAAATTTATTAATGAATCACATTCATTTTACATTGTCCACGTGAATTTTAAATTTAAAAATATTATTTGATGATCTTAGAATAAATCAATGTAGTGCACCATTTTGATTTTTATTAAAATAATGGGACTAACTGTAATAACTCCGACATGTGATTAGCCTATAATTCTTAATTAAGAATGCTTAATGAGTAATTAAGGAGAAATTATGTGTTAATTATGCATTAAATGTGTGAATTGTGTTTATATTTCATAGTTTGAATATATGTCTGTATTTCTGATTCAGTACGCGAATTGAAGGCTTATCAGCATTTGATCACGAAATTGACTTGGTTTATGTGTTATTTGAAATTCTTGAAAATTTATAGTAAGTTTAATTGAAATCTGATTCAGAACCAAATAATTAGAATTAATCATGACAATTTGATTAGTTAAATCAAGCTTGATTAGCCAACACTAAAACAAGCCTATATAAGGCTTCTATATTATAAAACACTCTCATTTTGTCATCATTGAGAGCAAAAACATGAAAGAGAAAGTGACCAAGAGATTGAGATCAAAGCTTGAGGTTTGGAAGGAAATTGCTAGGAGATTTGGAGAATTGCTCAAGATTATCACTAAACCTTAAAGAAATGAGAACTCTAGGTAAGAATCATATCCTTAAGCTTTGTATTCAAGACATTAGTGTAAGAATTCAAGAGATTAAAGTCGTTAAACATGAGAATTGAGCCTAGATTAAGGAATTTGGGGATAATTCATGCATGCATGCATAATTCATGAAATTTTGAGTTCAATTTTCGAACATTTACACATGCATGAAGCTTTACTTGCATACTTTGAAGAATCCAGCTTGGTTTCACTTGTATTCCTTCAATTATGCATGTTTTGGAAGCTTTGAAATTAAATCATCGCATGCATGTTATATACTAATACATTTCAAGTTTGGTTTTGCACAATTGACTTGATTTTGGGCTTTGATTTTGCAAAATGATTTTCAATTCATGATGTTATATCAGTTCAGACATGTTTTCTCAAGTTTTGGGCCCAAATGATGTATTTTGATACTTTGAATTTTAGTTTTGAAACTGGGAGTGCAATTTGGAAATTCCAGAATTCTCACTTTTCGCTCAAGCGGTGGAGTCTGCGCTCGAGCGAAGAATGCGAGCTCCTAATGCTTTTGCCGAGTTTGGGGATTGGCTCGAGCGACCGAACCTGCGCTCAAGCGACCACCCTTATTTTTGGTACTCAGCTGCAGCATAGGAAGTTGCGCTCAAGTGTAAAATGAGAGCTCTTAGAAGTTTTGCAGAGTTTTGCAGACCGCTCGAGCCAAGACCTTATTTTCAGAATTTTGGATAAGTGTTTCAACTTATATTTCGCATCCTCATTGCATCATAGGCATTCTTAAGCCTTAATTAAGACATAATAATGGGGATAAGGATTAGAAACACACCAAGAGAGAAAATAAATAAGTTAAGTATTTTCTGAGCGTGTGTTTTAATGTGTATCCGCTATGTGTTTATGTAGGTCACGTGCCATAGACTGTTTGATCCGACTGTTATAACTCTTCTGCTATCGGAGCTATTTGTGAGTAACAACTCTGTAAAGCTATATTTCATGATAAGTACTTTCACAATGATATGATATGATTTGGTTTATGAAATGCTATTTTATGAATAATAAGTGAATGTCCAATTTTCTGAAATGTAATTGTGGCATCCTTAGTTCACATGGCCCTCGCCCGGGGGAAACAATACCGTAGCTTATGTTCACATGGCTTTCACCTGGGGGAAATAATACTGTGGCTTATGTGCACATGGCTCTCGCCCGGGGAAAACAATACCGTGGCTTATGTTTATATGGCCCTTGCCTGGAGGAAACAATACCGTGCCTTATGTTTATATGGTCCTTGCCCGGGGGAAACAATACCGTGGTCTATATTCACATGGCCCTTGCCCAAGGGAAATAATACCGTGGTCTATGTTTACATGGCCCTTGCTTGGAGAAAACAATACCATGGCTACTTGTGCACAAGATATGGACCTTTAGGGTCATTGGTACCGACTATACATATGGATCTTAGGACTAAGTTAATATGATAGCTAATGGATGTACCACATTGTAATAACCCTCCCCACTGCTTACCGATAAACATTGATTACCGCTAAACTGAACTGATTATGACTGCTAATTGAACTGATTAAAGTACTGAACTGACTGACTGAAAACTGGAACTGAATTGACTGCGTACGTATGTTAATTTGTATTCTATCTGTTTGATTGTTTATTTGATTTGTTCACGTTTTATGTTTCAACTGCTAATTGAAGGCCTTATCGGCGGCCGAACCGAGAATTGATTGGTGTTTTATGATCCTCATAATTAATGTGACTTTATGGTAAATTTATTTGAAAACTGATTAGGTATGATTAAATTAGATTAAATATTGATGGATTGCAAGTTGACTTAATTACCAAACTAACCCTAGTGGTCCACTATCTCACACACATTTGAGCCTTACACTTGATCATAACATAACTCCTTCAGCCTTTCTTCTTGAGCCTTAGCCGACCAAGAGAGGGAGAGAGTGAGAGAATTGGATTCCATCTTGAGTTTTGCTTGCTAATTGAAGAAATTGAAGGTTGATCGTTAATTTGAGCTCCTAAATCTTGAATACAAGACTAAGGTAGGAAACTCATCTTCTTATTGTTGCCATTGAGCTAGTTCTTGCATGATTCATGCTTCATTGTAGAACTAAGTCATGTTTTGGTTCATTGTTGTTGAATTGAAGCTCAATCCTTGCATGCATGGTTGTATTGTAGATGTTGAGTTGTTTTCATGGCAAAATGTTACATTCATGTCCACAATTATGTTTAAGTCCATGATTTCATCATGTTTTGGAAACAATTGGCTCCTTAGAGCATCAAATTGAAGCTTTGAATTGATTTGAATTCATGCATGGTTACATGTTCTCCATGTTCATGAAATTGATTTGAAATTGGGTTTGAATTAAACACCCTTGGGCTTTGATTTCTCAAATTGAGTTTTGAATCATGTTATTCCATGTGTTTACAAATGTTTTTCCAGAAATTAGCCCAAGAGGATTGAAAATTATGCTTTTGAGCTTGAGTTTGAGCTTGGAGGTGCAATCTGGAATTTCAGATTTTGCACTCCCGCTCGAGCGGGTTAAGTGACGCTCGAGCGTGGAATCCGAGCATCCAGTATCTTGGCACTGTTTTATAGTTCGCTCGAGCGGAGGATTGGGCGCTCAAGCGGAGTCATGTGTCTCAAGCTCGAGCGGGCGTCGAGCGTCCGTCGAGCGGAGATTTCGCCCATCCAGTACTTTTACAATACGCTCGAGCGGGATATTTGACGCTCGAGCGTGTACCTTTGTTGCATGACCGCTCGAGCGGGGAAACCTGAGCTCGAGCGGGACTCTGTTTTTTTGAAAACTCCTGAAACTGTTTTTTGATCACATCTTTGCATCCTCATCTCATCCTAGGCATTCTTAGGCCTAGTTTAAGATATTTTATTGAGGATATAGATGTAGAACACACCGAGGCAAATTAGGGATTAAGTTATTATCTTTCCCAGCTGTGTAGCTTAGTGTGTTCAATCTGTTAACTGTGTAGGGTTGGCGACTGGGGAGACACGCTCTAGCATACTGTAGCCCAAACTCTGTGAGTAACGATTGTGTAAAGATATGTTCACAAATGATTATCTTCTGAACAACTGAACTGTACTATTTTCTGAACTAATTACTGTTAATTGAATGAATGTATGTCCTATATTCTGAACTGTATTGTGGCATCCTTAGCACCTACTGTTTACTGTTACTGTGACAGAAATCTCTGTCGGTTCCCTTGTTGGAACCACTACTGTTACTGACTGATGGCCATCATTACTGTTCGGTCTTTTAAGACCTACTGTTTACTGTACTGTTATGCTAATGGGTGTACCACATATGACTGTACTGACTGAACGATTGAAATACTGATTTAATGAACTATTTTCATTACTGTAAGGATATTCATTCTTAACCTCTTTACACATTATGTTATTCATTGGGCTTTAGCTCACTGCTCGTATATATATGTAGGTGTACAGGCATCAGACCGCGGCTAGGAGCGTCAGGGTTACTCCAGTTTTGTCATGCCAACTACCGTGCCTCACTGCGAGGTTCCAAGCCTATCTTGCTAAGGCTTAGGGGTGTTTTAGGACTCCCCCTTCTGTACTGTCGCGCTGTTTTGTAATAACTGAATGGATTGTATAGACTGAACGTTTACTATACTGCTATGTAAGGGATGGAGTCCCTAGTCTGAATAATTGTATATACTGTGCATACTGTTCTGTACCGTTCATGTATATATGTATGAAAAGTCTTTTTGCATACAGACTGTCACAGCTCATTGGACATTGTTTCTTTGCTGTTTTGGCTTCCGCCAGGCCCTGTACTCTGTTTTACTGTGCTACTGTTAAGCAGGCCTTTGGTAATCTCGGATTACTGGCTGGTTACGGTGCTAAACCCATAGGGCCGGGTTTGGGTCGTGACACACATATAACTACTTATGACTTATGATCAAGTATATGAATCTGAATTTGTTTCTAATATGAACTCTAATTTATGAAACTGTTTGGATATCATTCATAGACCCTTTACTCTACTGTTATTCACTGGGCTCCAACTCACCGTATTATTTATGTATGTAGGTGATCAGGCGCGTGACCAGGCCTAAGCTGCTGCCTGGAGATTTGTTTTGGTCAGCCAACCACAGTGCTTCCCGAGAACGTTCTCGAACTAAGAAATGCTCAAGTTTTGTGTGCAAGTTTAAGACTTTCGATTTCCTTTTTGTTTAAGTTTGAACATGACTTTTGGCCTATCTATAAACGTGGTAACGTAAGACTGACATTTCGATGACATCATATATATAAATTAAGTTTTAAATTTTCTGTCCCATGTATGTCTACACAGCTCTATAAACATTATTTGTTGGTATTTGCTTTTGCTAGCTCATGCATTTTGTTTAATTTGTTCAGAGGCCTTTGGTAATCCTAGGATTACTGCCAAATTATGACACTAAGCCCCTGGGTTTGGGTCGTGACAGAGTGGTATCAGAGCACGTATTATATTGCATAAACGAGTCCGTATGAGCTGTAAGATGTCCTAGAAAAGAATTAGGGACATTACATTTGTATATGTGAGTATGTATTGAATTATCTAGACATATCTGAACTAAAGTGAAATGACATGAACATATCTGAACTGAATATGAACATTGAGGAACTGTAAAGAATTATTTGCTTGTGTTTATTAGTGCTATGTTTACCTATAGCAAATGGAAAATCCAAGAAGTGACGGTACAACTGAATTTTCTGAGGCCCGAATAAACCGCATGGAACGGATGTTAGAGGTTTTAACTGAAGCAATGTTACAACAACAAAGACAACAACCTCTGTCTCCTCCACCCCCTTTGGTCCAAGTGGAACCAGTAAATAATGAAATCATCAGCTTGACTCAGAAGTTCAATAAAATGAAACCACCGACTTTCTTGGGTGGAATTGAACCTTTAAAAACTGAAACATGGATGCTAGAAATTGAAAAACTATTTGAAGTCTTTCCATGTACAGAGACTCAAAACGTTTTGTTGGCCACTTACATGCTGAAGGACGAAGCCCAACGTTGGTGGATACTTATCCGAGATAACAATGGAACTTTAACTTGGGACCAATTCAGAGAGATTTTCAATGAAAAATACTTCCCACAATGTTTCCAAGATCGAAAAGTGTCCGAATTCCAAGAACTCAAGCAAGGCAATATGTCAATAGTAGAGTATGAAGCCAAGTTTACCAAATTGGCCCTGTTTGCTCCATACATGGTGGATACCGATTACAAAAAGGCTAGAAAATTTGAAGGAGGCTTGGCTTTAGACGTGTTTGATCGGGTCGGTGTATTAAAATTGCCCAAATATGTGGATGTGCTTGATAGAGCCCTAATGGCTGAAGCCAACCTAGCTGCCATGAAACAAACTAAAGCTCCAACAATTGAATAGAGAGGTAAGAGATCGAGATTCAATTTTAAAAAGTGTCATTCATTTTCAAATAAGCAAAACACATAATCCTCCAGTAGCTCAAGCCAAAGTAGTGGATCTACTCTAACTTGCTTAGAATGCGGAAGAAAACATAAGAGTGCCTACTGCCGATCAACAGGTGCTTGCTTCCGCTGTGACAAGACTAGCCACATGATAAAAGATTGCCCACTCATATCCCAAAATTCCAACCATCCTGCAGCAAGCTCAATCGGATCTGTTTATGCACCAAGAACAAACGTGAGAACTAATGTTTGCAAAGAAGCTTTGAGGCAAAGCAGATCGTTTGCACTTGTACCAGGAGATGTCCAGAATACTGAATCTATGGTGTTAGGCATACTTCCTATTTGTGCTCAGAATGCATATGTACTGATAGACCCTGGTTCTACACATTCATTTATGTCACATGCTTTTTCTCGAAAATTGACCAGATCGCTAGAACCTATGAATTATTTGTTATTTGTGTCTACGCCTTCTAAGGATTCTATGATGTGTCCTTATATGTGATTGGGGATGTGTTATTATACATCATGATTGGGGATGTGTTATTATATGTTGATTTGATGCCATTGGGCATTGCTCATTTTGATTGTATATTAGGTATGCACTGGTTGACTAAATACCGTGCAACTATTGATTGTGTGAGTAAATCTGTTATCTTCCGACCACCTGGCTTGTCTGAATTTTGTTTGTTGGGAATGAGATAGTTCCACCTCCATATATGATTTCTGCTTTGAAAGTTGTGAAATTGCTTATAAAGGGATATAGGGGTTATTTGTATAGTGTTTTAAATGTGACTTTTGATAGTCCTAATGTGAAACCTATTCCTGTAGTTAATGAATTTTCTGATGTGTTCCCAAGTGAACTACCCAATGATTTGATTGATAGAGAAATTGAATTTACCATTGAGGTATTACCTGGAACACAACCTATCTTTAAAACCCCTTATAGAATGTCGATTTCTGAATTAAAAGAATTGAAAACCCTATTACAAGAATTGTTAGACAAGAAATTTATCCATCTGAGTACTTCACCTTAAGGTGCTCCAGTTCTGTTTGTTAAGAAGAAAGATGGGTCTGTGAGGTTATGCATTGACTATCGGAAATTGAACAAAGTAACTGTGGGGACATATTTTGTGAATGACAGCACGTGGCCAAGCCGAAGTGTCAGCCAAGGTGCCACGTGGCATGGTCCTAATGCTGAGGTGATCTCGACTAAGCCGAGGTTATCTACGAAGATACAAGAATTCGAAATAAATAGATAAGGGACAAAAGTCCTAAAATAGGAGAGGATCTCAGTCTGAATAAAGTTAAAACTCTTAGGGAGTTTATCCCTATCTAGCTGACCGTCCAAGATGAGCATTGAGCTAGAGTCCACTGAAGTGAGGCTTCTACAAGGATCAGGTCAGTGTTGGCTATAAAAATGAGGCACCCCCGTGGGTCTAAGGTATGTGTGATAGACTGGGAGTAGTAAGTTCTTTCTTGTGAGCTAAGCACAATTTGCTATCTTTGAGAGATATTTGATTACTGACTTAAGTGTCGGAGTGCTCCCAGATGGACGAACCACCGCCAGATTCTTATTTTTTTGTGACAGGTTATTCGGGCTTAAGATAAGTGTAAACCAGCCGAAGTTCTGATAAGTGTAAACCATTTTTTTGTTTGTTAAAGAAGGCCACAGATTTTTTCTGGACAGAAGAGTGTGAAGTCGCCTTAGCCGACTTTAAAAAGTTAAAGACTAGATTGGTGACTGCACCAATATTGACTCTACTTAATGGTACAGATGGGTTCCAAATCTACAATGATGCATTGTACAAAGGTTTGGGATGTGTGTTAATGCAAAATGGGAAAGTAATTTCATATTCTTCACGACAACTCCGGCCACATGAAAGGAACTATCAGACCCATGACCTTAAACTTACAGCTATGATTTTTGCGTTGAAAATCTGGCGCCACTATCTATATGGAGTGACTTATGAAGTATATACCGACTACAAAAGCCTAAAATATTTCTTTACCTAGAAATAATTGAATATGAGACAAAGAAGATGGCTCGAATTGATTAAAGATTATGACTTACAGATTTTGTATCATCCCGGGAAAGCAAATACAGTTGCAGATGCTTCGAGCAGAACATCCATCGGGAATTTGGCATGTTTGCTTACTGGGCAGAAAGAATTGTTGTATGAGTTGGAAATAGATGACATTGAAGTTGTTTTACATAAATGGGTGGAGTTCTAGCCGTCATTTCTGCACAACCAACTATACTTGAGAAAGTTAAAGATAAGCAATTACAAGATGAATTCCTAAAAAAGATTGTTGATGAAATTGAATCAAAACCAAGGCCAGGATTTGTATATGAAAATAATGTGTTGAAATTTCAGGGTACACTTTGTGCACCGGATTGTTCAGAATTGAGAAATCGTATATTGATTGAGGCTCATAATTCCAAATTTGTTATACATCCAGGAAATACAAAGATGTACCATGACTTGAAACAAAATTTTTGGTGGCCTGGAATGAAGAAATGTGTTGCTAATTTTGTAGCTAAATGTTTGCATTTCTAACAAGTTAAAGTCGAACATCAACGACCCCCTGGATTACTTCAACCGCTTCCAATACCAGAATAGAAATGGGAGCATATTACGATGAACTTTATTGTTGGACTGTCTCGCTCCTCCCAAGGTATAGATTTTATTTGGGTTATTGTTAATTGTTTAACTAAATTTGCTCATTTTCTATTTGTGAAAACCTTTTATAATGCGGACAAGTTGGCTAACATATATATGAATCAGATTGTGAGATTGCACGGAGTACCAGTATCCATTGTATTTAACAGAGACCCCAAGTTTACTTCGAGATTCTAACAGAGTTTGCAATAAGCTTTGGGGACTAAATTGAGATTGAGTAGTGCTTATTACCCACAGACGGATGGCCAATCAAAAAGAACAATACAGACCTTGGAAGAATATGCTTAGAATGTGTGTACTATATTTCCAAGGAAATTGGGAGACTTATCTGCCTCTGGCCGAGTTTGTATACAACAATAGCTACCACTCAAGTATTGGAATGGCTCCTTATGAAGCCCTGTATGGTAGGAAGGACCGATCTCCAATTTGTTAGGCCAAAGTAGGTGATAGACCTTTGTTGGAACCGGAACTTGTGCAAGAAACAACTTAAAAGGTGAAATTGATTCAACAATGTTTGAAAACTGCCCAAAGTTGCCAAAAAAGTTATGCGGATGTACGGAGAAGAGACAGAGAATATGAAGTAGGCGACCATGCATTCATCAAAGTAACTTCTATGAAGGGCTAGACATAACTTGGGGTTAAAGGCAAATTAGCACCACGGTGCATTGGCCCGTATGAAATTATTGAGAAAATCAACCTTATGACTTATCAAGTGGCCTTACCTCCAGTTATGGAAAATATGCATAATGTCTTTCATGTTTCAATGCTTCGGGATTATTTGCATGACCCACATCATGTTATTGAACCAACTCATGTGCTTCTGAAAGATGATTATACTTACGAGGAACATCCAATCCAAATTGTCAACCAAAGGATCAAGAGATTGAGGAACAAGGAGATTCCATTGGTGAAGGTTGATTGGCACAATCATGGAGAAACTTATGCAACATGGGAAACCAAAGAGGACATGATGAAGAGATACCCCGACTTGTTTCCACTAGACCCGACATTATTCCAAAATGAAAGTAATTCAAATTCGGAGGACCAAACTCTTTAAGGGGTAAGACTGTAACATCCTCGACCTGTGATTAGCCTATAATCCTTAATTAAAAATGCTTAATGAGTAATTAAGAAGAAATCATGTGTTAATTATGCATTAAATGTGTGAATTGTGTTTATATCTATTCAAAATAAGAATATGTGTCTGTATTTCTGATTCGGTACGCAAATTGAAGGCCTTATTGGCATCTGATCATAAAATTGACTCGGTTTATGTGTTATTTGAAATTCTTGGAAATTTATAGTAAGTTTAATTGAAATCTGATTCAGAACCAAATAATTAGAATTAATAATGACAATTTGATTAGTTTAAACCAAGTTTGATTAGCCAACATTAAAACAAGCCTATATAATCCTTGAGAGCAAAAACGTGAGAGAGAAAGAAACCAAGAGAGATTGAGATCAAAGCTTGAGGTTTCGAAGGAAATTGCTAGGAGATTTGGAGAGTTGCTCAAGATTATCACTAAACCTTAAAGAAATTAGAACTCTTGGTAAGAATCATGTCCTTAAGCTTTGTATTCAAGACATTAGTGTAAGAATTCAAGAGATTAAGGTAGTTAACATGAGAATTGAGCCTAGATTAAGGAATTTGGGAATAGTTCATGCATGCATGCATAATTCATGAAGTTTTGAGTTCAATTTCCAAACATTTACACATGTATGAAGCTTTACTTGCATACTTTGAAGAATCCAACTTGGTTTCACTTGTATTCCTTCAATTGTGCATATTTTGGAAGCTTTGAAATTAAATCATCGCATGCATGTTATATACTTATATATTTCAAGTTTGGTTTTGCATAATTGACTTGATTTTGGGCTATGATTTTGCGAAATGATTTTGAATTCATGATGTTATATCAGTTCGGACATGTTTTCTCAAGTTTTGGGCCCAAAGGATATGTTTTGACACTTTGAATTTGAGTTTTGAAGCTGGGGGTGCAATCTGGCAATTCCAGAATTTGCATTCTTCGCTTGAGCGGATAATGCAAGCTCCAAGTACTTTTGCAAAGTTTGACTGTTGTCTCGAGCGGCAGAACCTGTGCTCAAGTGACAACCCTTATTTTTGAGCCTCCGCTCGAGCACAGGAAGTTGTGCTCGAGCGTAAAATGACAGCTCCCAGAAGTTTTACAGAGTTTGCAGATTGCTTGAGCGTAGGAAGTTGCGCTTGAGCGGAGACCCTGTTTACTCAATCTTTAGCTCGAGCGACCGTCGAGCGTAA